ATATATGTATTTCTGCTTTTTCGTCTTTTAAATTTGTTCGGTGAGTCAAACAGCTATGCTATGCTGTCTACTCTTCAAAGGCTAAGAAGCCCTGATTAACCACTGTAACATCTTGTCTAGCCTTTGAAATAACACCTTAATTTAAAAAAAACAAGAGCAAATAGTAAATATAGGTCTACACTTTCATTTGTGCACTGGGTTGTTTGAAGAGAGGAGATTTCCAGTAAAAAAAAGGTACAAATGACATGCAAACAAAGTATTGGCAGAAAAGTGAGTAACTTTTTTTTAAAATTATGGCACTACCCACCTTATTTTAACTATCATTTTTATTATTTTCAATATGTTTATGAACTTTTTTTTAAATTTAATTAGGTGACATGGGATTAAATAATGGGTGAGGATTTAAAGGTTTTCTTTAAGAAGCAAATTTTACAAAATGCTTTTGAAAAGAAAATAATGATCATGTCTACATGGCATAGCAAGACTGCTCTGGGTTGCAATGAGCTATTTTGGCATGGAGGAGAAGCACTCATGTGGGTCTCCATTTCCAACACACCAGTAAATTTCCTTTGTAAGAAAGGCGATGGTCACTACGAGACCAGACAGGATATCCTCGCTGCAGAAATAGGTACAGAAATGCTCTGTTTCAGTCAACATATGTGCTTAGGCAGAGGGACACCTAGGCCAGCTACCTTTATTACTTTGTGCCACTAACCTGCAAAATTTGTCTCCTCTTCTGAGAGGCTAGCATGTACCAGAAGTGTCTACCCAGACCTCCTTACTCAAGAGCTACCTAACTGTGTTAGTAGCAGTTTCCCGAGTAGCTCTGAGCTGTACCCAACTGCACATGAGTGTCCAAGGAATTTCAGGACAAAGCCAAGCACTTGATCTTGCTCCACTTTCAGTGGTTTCAAACCTTCCTTAACATTTAGACTAGCATATTTAGGTTTCTGCTGAGGTGTAGATCCTCAACCATTTCATTACCAGGTGTCAGCTGGGTGCCATAGCTAACAGCTAAGGGACTGTAAGAGCTAATACACAAATGACCCATAAGGAGCTGCTTCCTAAATCATTTTGCAACTCAAGCCTTCACTCTAAACCCTTGTTTTCTCCGTTCACAGTATGGATAGCATAGTCAGTCTCAAGGACTGAATTCTAGCGTGCTACCTCCAGCAAGTGCATTAAGTCACACTTGAGTTGTCCCATGTTGCAGTGTTTAGCATCTGCATGCTCAGATTACTAAAATTTAGTCTCAAGCTTACAGCCACACTCCCAGGACCAGGCAGATATACACACTGTAACACAAAGAGGCAAGCACAGTGAAAGAGGCCAAACTCTCACCCATTTTCACTATTGTTTTAATAATTTTGTTTTCTGATGCTTTCAAAAAGCCAGTAGCTACAGCCAGCTGGTGGGCAGGACAAAAGTGATGGGATGAAAAATGTGTGGTAAAAAACTGTAGAGATGCACAATGTTCTTTGCAGGCTTCATGCAGAACGTCAAGTATTTGTGGTCACATCATATTTTCCGATACCTTTTTTTTAAGGTCTGATTACTGCTGTTTTAATTCAGAGCCCATCAACTTTTAGATTAATTCCTTTCTGTATGGAAATTTTTGGTGAAACTTTCAGTTGTCTATGTTCTGTTCTGCTTTAGCCTCAGTCACAAACTTATTTCATGCCATTTCGCTCAAGTGCATCAAATACAGATAAAATTCCTTCATGTATGTAATGCATGGACCAAAATTCTCATCTAGGTTCATGGAGTTGTTTTATGAAGCATATTTATGTATTCCCACGCAAAGAGACATGGAAAGGATTAGCCATTTCTCCATCTCAGCTTTGGTGCAGTTTTCTTTTAAATTGGGTGAGAGGGTGTTGAGGTTGTTTTTGTTTTCAGTCTAGAGGCTGAAAGCTGAGGCTACAAGTGTCCCTTATGTGGAATAGCAGTCATTCTGTTCAAACTTTTGTGGGGAACAAAAAATTTTTTTGCCAGGATTAGGAAATAATTTTTATAATACTGATGTTTTCATTATAATTTTGAACTCTTGCTCTGTAGTTGGTTTTAAGATACTTAAGAGTTCTCCTTGGGAATTTTGGGGGGTGGTTTTGTTGCTGTTTTCCATTTCCCTGGTTTGCAAAGATAAATTGCTGTTTCTGAAATCAGAAAGTTATGAATGTTGTCAGTATGTTATGTAGGTCATCTAATAGCTGTGTTGGGGCTCAATGGCTCTGCATTGCCAGAGCACAGAAAATCATGCCCATTGGTGTTAGCAGCATGATTGCCATAGATCCTCAGACATGGCACACAACCTTGCTTTTCCATACGCTTGGTAAAACCTAGTCATGCTAGGTGAAGAATTGTGAAGAATTTCTTACTTTCTGTTCATCGGGATACAGCTTGATTTTTACAGCTGGGAATTATTTGCAGCTCTCATCAGTGTTGACTGAGATTGCTTAGACCTGAAGCATCAAACCTGTGTCCTTCAGATGGTTCCATCTATCTCAGTATTAATGATGAAATGTAGAGGCATGATCTTCCTTCTTTGCCTGCATAAATTTGATCAGGAGTAAATTGATTTTTGTTCCTTTTTCTTTACAAAATGAAGAGCATCTTATTATTTGAGCTCTGTATTCACTATTCAAAACAAAACATAAGCCAGGTGTTTTAGGAAAAAAAATACTTCTGATTGATGACTTTCTTTACTTACATACCCTTCTTTTGAAATTTTGGTCCTGTATGTTTTAAACAACAGACACAATAATATTTTAGTTGTATTGCAGGAGAACCATTGTTAGATACTCTAAATGTGTTTTATGATTTTATTTTTAACATAGTCTGCTTTTGGACAGTGAAATTCTGGGTAGGGTAGTCTGCCATGTTACCTAATCCCAGCTCTTCAGCATGCAGAGAAGGCCACCACTATGACTGTGGCAGGGGTCAGTACAGAATGATGTGTTGTTTTCACACGCTCATTACATAAAATGCCTTCTTTGCCCCATTTCTTTTCAGGAATCATTCCTTCGTTTGCTTTCTGTCTTCTTTCCAGGTGTGGATGTGTGGAGGTGGCATGTTTGATGTTCCATGCTCTCGAGTTGGGCATATCTACAGGAAATACGTCCCCTATAAAGTTCCTTCTGGAACCAGCCTGGCACGAGTAAGTAATTTGATCTGACTGTTTTTAATTTTCATTCATCATCAGTCTCTTAATTCCCTATGAACTAGCTTCCGGTAAACCATTAAAATGGAAAATGAATGCCTCTCTATTTTTCTGAACTGAGATGTGCAATTGCTGCAGTTGCGCTGCCTTCCAGAGATAAGATTGCCAATAAAATGAAAGCTTAAAAACACAGGGTTGGATGTTTCAGTACGGAAGCACGTTTCATGCTGATTCAAAAGAACCTAAGAATAACCTAAGGCTTACTGTTCCCGAATTGCAGTGTTGTCAGTCATAATTTTTACAAGCAGGACCAATTTGAATGCACATTTTCTTATCAGTCAGCAGAACATGCAGAATCTCATGAAAGGAACATTTTTTGAGGCAAAAGGACCTAGTAACAATGATTTGAGCAACTGTCTAATTATTGAGTAAAACCTGGTTGTGGAATACAGCCACCTTGGAGCCATGTGAGTGAGAAAGACCTCTAGACATTTCTCAAAGACTACTGAACACATCCATATCCATGAGGGGCTTTTTGCTCAAGAGAAAATGTTCTTTAACTTTCTGGAGATGTTCACGGGATGTCAAAAGATGGGAGACAAAGGGCACAGATGTAGCTTCAAGGCAGATACTAGCATTTATTCATGCTTGAGTTTAATCTTTTGTGGTTTAGAGGAATTTTTTTTTAATAAAACAGCATTAATATTAAAGTCTGCATATTGTCATAGGGTAATATTTTATGAATCATATTTTTTCTTAATAATGGAAATGTGGTATGAATAAAAGAGTAAATTTCTTGCTTTAAGGTGGAGATATTCTTGGTTTCAGCACCATAGGACAAGGTTTGTTGTAGTGACTGCAGCAGAGGGAAGAGGCTGCCTGTGCTCTTTGCCTGACATCTGGCTAGACAGAGAGAAGGATTTTTCTTAAAAGAGCATCTATGCTGACAGTGAGACACACGCTGCAGATTAGTGATGGTGTTGGTGGTGGTGACAAAAGCTACATGGACTAAATTTTGGGATTAAAATCTTCCCCCAGTATAGCTCTATATAGTCTCGGAGTTTCTACATCCAGATTTTTGCAGTGGTTGAAATAAGCTTCTTCATTATCCTGCCAAAATCATGCACAACTGGAAATAAGAAATCCAAACCTCAGTCTCTGTTTTTCTCTATTACAGCACAAAGTATCTCATTAGAGAATATGCTCTCTTGTGCATTACCTGTAGGAGCAAAATACAATAATTTCTGTTTGGCCTGTTAGCATCTCGTACAGTTCGACACTCAACTAGCATTTACAGAGGTACTGTGAGAACTTAGAGCCATCAGGTAGCCACAGCCTGCAGCCTCCCTATGGTATTTATTCTAGCTTCATTTCAATAAATCACTTGTGAAATATCACAAAAAATAATTCCTAATTATAAAAAGGAAATCTCTGCCCGTGCACAGAGTAACTGCCTTGAATCTTGTGGGAAAAGATCTAGTGTGCTGATAGGGTGGGTCTTATCCTTCCCATTCAAATAATGGATAGTTTCTTCTGTGTTATGGTGGTCCAAGATATGATGCCTAGGTAAATTTCTGTCATGTATGGAAAGAAAATATGAATTCTCAAGTTCCCAGGTTCCATCCAGTACAGTATTATAAACCAAAACATTGCTGTTAGGATGCATTGCATCAAGGCTGCCAAGAGCACAAGATCTGCTTTATGTTTTAGTATTTGGGGATATCTCAATAACTACCCAAGGAAGAGAGTATGGTCCCTAACCCAGCAAACTAGTGTATTTTAAGCTTAAAAATATTATCTTTCTCTCACCCAAGACAGAAAAGGAAAAGCAATGACATATTCATCTTCAGTGTGTCAATCCCTTTGATACAGACCACTTCTGGTTTCAAATAAAACTGCCACAAATGGAGCTGTTAGCCAAAGTAATACTAAGGAAGTATGCACAGAAGTGGCCTGGATATTTCAGCTATCTTTGAATTATCCTCCAAATATTGTATTATATCCTCCAAAGATTATAGCCTACCCCTTATGAGTATTTTATCTAAAACTTCCCTCTAGTTCAAGAATATAATGAATAGCACACTCAAGAATATATGGAAATACTATCCCTGCTGCCAAAAGCAATACTTTTCACTACTAAGTAGTTTCCATAAAGGTTCTTACTAAATTCTTAGCCATCTTATGCTGTGTAAAGGAGGATGCTGGAGATGCAGTTCACAAAAGAATAAGTCCTAGGAAGCCCAACTATGATTGTATAAATGATTGCAAGAGCCCCTTCATTAATCAAAGGAGAACTTCCCCTTGTGCAGATACTGCATTAAACAATGACAGATTTTCCCATCCTACCCTACAGCAGCAGTACAAGGGATATGGAGACTGTAGTTAGGAAGAGGACGGAACTACTAGACAAACTTAGGAATAGCCCAAATCATGGCATGAGTTTCCTTTCAAGCTGTTTCAGCTTCTGTTTGCCCTTAACAAATAATATTTCAAGTAAGCATTTTTCCTTCCCTTGGGATTTCACCTCTGTCTTCTAGCAGCAAGTTTCAACACACAGTTTCAGCCAGCTACGTCATGCCTGACCAATCTAGTCATCTTTATAAAGATCTGTGACCCAGCATGAGGGTCACATATGCTTTACTAAATAGGAGACTTGTCAAAAAGTTTGTTCTGCCTTCCCATCACTAAATAACCCTTACTGCACCACACACAACAGTAGGTATCATGACAGCAATTTTCTATGTCCTTCCTATCATATTTCTTGCTACTTTATCTGTCACTCAAGACCTGCAAGGCCTGTGCATATTTTTTGCTGACACATACCCCATAAATTGAAAAGCATCTGCATATGAAATGCTCTGTCAGTAAAACTGTTTGGTGGTACGGAGCTAAAGTGAAGTGAGCTGCAAACATGTATAGTGGATTTATAAAACAGACCGTGACAACCAAATGTAGATTAAAAAGCTGAATATTTTTTTCTGGAGATGTCTTAAGATGTTGCTGCATGCCAAATGCAATGGGTGTCCAATTCACAGGTAATTGCACATAAAGCAAGATTAATGGGTATGCAGATGTCAACACTCACTCCACATTATGATGTGGAAGCACCACATAATTATTCATTCATTCCAAATCTGTCAACCTCTGCACAAACCTGCAGTGGCTAATAACCAGTTTTGCCTGTTTGTTTTAGGTAAAACCTATATAGAGAGCAAATCCCAAATCTTGAAGTTCTGTGCAAGATGTTGCCCTATTAAAAACTTTTGAATTGTTTTACTGGATTATTTTAGTTGCTTTGTGGTATTTTTGACTGTTGCTCCATTTCTAACAATTCTAGCTAAGCCATTTTCTTTTATTTAGGAATCAAGCAAGTTGCCTTCTTGATGATGATGATTATACAATACAACTTTTAAGTTTTTATTCTAACTTTTTTCATTTAATAGATTTATAAATTCATCATTAAAATTAATTAAACCAAGATCTCAAACAGAGCATTTACCAAAGAAAAACTTCAAAATAGTATCTTCTAGTACTTGAATACAAGAAAGTCAAAGTAATTTTTTCAAGTGATAATTTTTTCTATTTTCTCTGATTTGGGTAGAAGTTTTGCTTTTAACATAATAAATGCAACAGGACAGGCAGCTTAACTATCCAAAAGGTATACAAAGCACATGGAGAACTAGATGTTTCTGGCAAGTAACAACAGCAAAGAGGTGGTAGCTATTTTTCAGTATTCGTTCAATAGGCTGGCACTGGATCCCAAGTTACATGGCTAAAGAAATGTATTTGGAATCAAACCTCTGAACTCTCTTCCCAGCTTAGCCGCAGACGTGGGCTGTGGTCTGAATGTGCCCAAAGGGTATGGATCTGTCGAGTGAGTCTGGCAGTAATCTGGGGTCTGGAGAATAAGCCTTGTGAGGAGTGGCTGAGGGAGCTGGGGTTGTTCAGTTTGGAAAACAGGAAACTGACGGGAGACTTTATCACTCTCTACAACTACGTGAAAGCAGGTTGTAGAGAGGTGGGTGTTGGTCTCTTCTTCCATGTAACTCTTTGACAGGACAAGAGGAAATGGCCTCAAGTTGCGCCAGGGGAGGTTTAGATTGGATATCAGGAAAAATTTCTTTAGTGAAAAAGTGGTCAAACACTGGAACAGGCTGCCCAGGGAGGTGGTGGAGTCACCATCCCTGGAGGTATTCAAGAAGCCCATGGATGTGGCACTTGAGGACATGGTTTAGTGGCCATGGTGGTGTTAGGTTGACGGTTGGACTTGATGGTCTTAGAGGTCTCTTCCAACCTTAATGATTCTGTGATTCTGTAATCAACTATTCTGCAGAGATGTTACCCTTGCACTCTGCTTTCCACAGCTCCCCACAGCTAGCCCACAGCCGCAGAGCCAGTGGTCGGCAGCATCCGCCTGGGAACCGTGCCCATCCCTGCTGCACAAGCCCTCCAGGCTGCCCTCAAGAGAGCCAGTCAGCTGAGATGTAGCCTTCAGTCAGTGGGCTGGGTTTTTTTGGCTTGTTTTCACTTTTTTCGAATGTGTAGATCTTAAAATTGTTTGCAGTGAAGATGTAGATCTTTATGGAGAGAATGAAATCCTGGCTGTTTTCAGATGCTACCTGTGGAATTTTAGTTCTAGGTATTTGCGTCTACAGACTGAGAAAGTCTTTTGCTTCTCTGCCTGCTGTGCTAACTCTCACAAGAGTTATTTATATACACCACTAGCTTTGGCACCTAGTTAACGTGCTGTCTTCCATGGAGAAACATTTCTTTTATGCCTGTAGACATCCATTCTTTTGGTTGAGGTTTTTTTTTAAAGAAATACAGACCATTGCTGGAATGAAACACAGTAACATTTTAAACACAGTTAAGTCTAAATGACTGAAACAAGGTACCCAAGAGAGGGAATGACTGACGAACACTAGCCCTGCCTAAGTTAAAAGGGAGTTAGACAAGAAGGAGAAAGGGATGAAACCTCCCATTTAAACTTAACTGTT